CCCTTCCCCCACTCTCTCTTTTGGAAACTAGGGTTGCTAATCCCCTATTTGGATCAGGGAATCCCCTGGGCCCCACCCCTCATTGTCAATCAGCTGGCCTGTTGGTGGACTTACCAGGAGCAGGAGGAGGCCCAGGTTACATTGTCGGCAATGTGGCAACATCACTTCCAGTGTGTGCTGGAAGTGATGTTATCACGTCAGTTCCATCTGGTGACACGCTGGTATTTGGGTAAAAACTCAATGATAGGAGTCATTTTTACTGTAGAGTTTTTGCCCAAATGCCAGAGCGTTGCTGGGACAACCCAGCATTATGATGTAACTTCCAGTACATGCCAGAAGTGACATCACCATGTCACTGGCGATGTAATCTGGGCCTCCTTTCCGCACCTAGTAAGCCCCCCATCCCCACCAGTTGCCAGGAAGGACCTGGCAACGCTATTGGCAACCCTAGAAGCCAGGCTAGCTGATGTCTTAAAAGGAACTGGGTAACGTCTCTAGAATCTGGACAAGAATCAGAAAACTGGCCCATATAGCAACTCTGTGTGGAAAGTTTCAAAGCTGGTAGTCTACAGAAGTGGAGTTCATAACAATGCTGCTTATCCTAATCTGTTGGCTGGAGGTGAGGACTATGAATTGAAAATAATAATATTTTTTCCCATGGTTCCTAGACATTTTCAACAAAGTGCAGAAACAGAAGCAGAAAAGCCCGCTTGACAACACAGTTGCGCTCTCTGCTGAAAACTCCAACGCCGTGTCAGCTTCTCCATCCACGGAAGGGAAGCGTACATGCTGCCTGAACCTCTGAATGGGACAGGGGCATATGGGGAACATCAGCCAAGTTGTGGGGACAATGGGAAGCATGTGCGCAAGTTCGCACTCAAATGCTGGATAGTTTGCGGTCGAGAGATGTGGTCTGCCTCCGGTCTCTGTAAGTGGCTGGTAGCTTATGGAGGAACTAAGCAATTCGCGTCACCAAGGACCATGAAAAATTCGCCGTTTCTGTAGAGCTATACATTTTTATCTCCCCACCACTCCAACTGGTCTTCCAGATCCTATCAAGCCATAGTTCTCTACACGTAAAAACAGGCATAATCCAGCAAAAATTAGCTTGTGTCAGAATAGGACTTTGCTATGACCAGCATAAATCCCAGCAACTGTAGTGAGGTTTACCCCTTTATGCTAACCAGATTGATTTGGAAGTATGCCGCACTCAGTTAAGTGGATTTTTTCTGGTAGTCTCTTAAACATGTAAAAAGGAACCCTGATGGCCATTGACCCTGAGAACCAACATGGTGCATTGAACAGTGTCCTACCAGGATCCTGGGAGACCTGAGTTTGAATCCCGACGTCTATGATGGAAGCTTACTGGGAGACCTTGGCTCCATCACAAACTCTCAGCCTGGCCTACCTCACAAGATTGTTGTGAGAATACAGAGGGGGTAGAACAATGTTCTTAAGCCACTTTGAGACCCAACTGGAGAGTGCAGGGGGTTGGACTAGATGACCTGCAAGGTCCCTTCCAACTCTAATATTTAGGGTTGCCAAACCTTTTTTCGTCCGCGGTGGGGGGCTCCCGGTCGGCGTCTTCTGCATAGAGTTTTCCCCTCAGATGGCTGTGGCCCCGCCCCCAGCATGCCCGGCATCATCACATCACCTCCGGGTGATGTGCACGCCGGGGTGGGGTTTCCCCCGGGGCCCGATTCCGCGGCAGCGGAAATTGGGCCTCCAAAGCAGGGGGAAATCAGCCCCCTGGGGGGACTTGGCAGCCCTACTAATATTCTATGATTCTATGAAAAGTGGGATATCAAGAAATAAATGCAAATAAAATGCATGCATTATTTTAAAGCAAAGTCAGCTTTGGGAAGGGAAGAGGCCTTTCTTTATTTTCTATTTGCATGGAGGCAGGGCTTTTTATGCAAATGAACATTCAGAGTTGGGATTTGGCACCTGCAGTCTTAAGGGGCATGGTTCATCCCCCCCCTATCAGCATTTTTGCCTCCTGCAAGACTAAACTCTTGCTGGATTTGCCAAATCTCTGTAACCTAAACGTTGTGTAATAAAAAAATAATTCCTCTGAATACAAGCCATCCAGAAGACATGAACACACCTGTGTGGGAATGGAAATCCACCAGTATGTGTACGTTTATATAAATATATGTATAAATATATGAAGAACATATTTTGTAAATAAATTGTGCTGGAATCTATTCTTTTAATGATTTTTTAAAATTATTATGATCTATCTCACTTGAAATGACAAAGCCAGGGAAGGAGGATTGATTGGTCAGAGAAATCTACTCCAAATTTAAGACTTAAGGGCTTGTTCTCAGGATATTTAGGGTTCCTATCGCACATTTCAAGCGTTCAAAGCACAGCACATACAGGGTTTCAGGAAGCATAATGGCAGCACAAGGCAGACTGCAAGTATTAGCTGGAGGGGGTTGAAGAATGAGAAAAGAGCAGCTTTCCTAAGGCTGTTGCCAGAGGCCGTGGCTCCTGTGACAAATCAGAGAGGTAAGGATTCTCCAAGGTGTGTCTTTTCCCACCCTTTTAAGTGGTGATGCTGTAGACTGAACCAGGGACCGACCGCCTGCATGCAAACCTCACGCTCTGACACTGAGCAGTGAACACTCCTCAATTACATATGAACCTATCTTACACCAAGTCAAACCAATGGTACATCTGGCTCAGTATTGTCTGCTCCGATTGGCTGTAGGGTCACCTGCTATGTGAAATCCTTTAACTGGAGATGCTGGGAATTGAACTTATGACCTTCTGCACACAAAGCAGGTACTCTACCACTCAGCCATGGCCCCTCCTTCATGGAGGCTTCTTCATAGAGTAACTGAAAACAAAATTAACTTCTTTGAGGTCAGTATGAGTGTAGACACCTCCCCCTCCCCCAGGGTAAAAATTAAATGGCATTCCTCTTACCGGATGTTAGCATTCATTAAAGCTTGAAGTGAATGGGAAGATCTCATGCAATTTCTGTGCATGTAAATCGGTTTTGCCAAAGGTCAACTTTGTTTCATTTTGTTTTTATTTCAATTTAATTTTTTTCTACACGGTTTAATTTTACTTTAATTTTTTCCTACACCATTCCCAGTTATGGATGCTATTGAACATTTGGAATGAAAGGTGCCAAAAAGCAGCCTGATATTTTGGTACACACGGTCTTCCTGCAAATCAGTCAGCAAGGCTGACAAGACGTGGGACGGTTCGCGCACAAGTCGACATGCTCAGGCTTGGCCTTTGCTGAGTCTCCACAAGGAGTAAATTGGATAATTCAGGAGATGGGAGCAAGGAGCCAAGAATACTACTTTTTGCATCTCTCCTGGCCAAATGTAATCTACTGGGCCAGGTGGTGGTGGACGAAGGTGCCCTCAAGTTGCAGCTAATTTACGGTGACCCTGTAGGGTTTTCAAGGCAAGAGACAAACAGAGGTGGTTTGCCCCTGCCTGCCTTTGTAAAGCAACCCTGGACTTCCTTGGTGGTTTCCCATTCATGTACTAACCAGGGCTGACCCTGCTTACACCCCAAGATCTGGCAAGATTGAGCTCGGCTGGGCCATCCAAGTCAGGGCCAGGGTCAGGTATCCCACCCTGAATTCCTTGGAGGAAGAGTGGAATAAAAATCTAATAAATGAATGGAATGGAATAGATAGGTTCAGGGGTCATTTTGTAGAAAAAGAGGTTCAGGAGCTCATTAGCATAACTTATTTGCATATGCCACACACCCTGACCTCACTGGGAGTTAGGGTTGCCAGCCTCCAGGTGGGGCCTGGGGATCTCCCGCTTTTACAACTGATCCCCAGCCGACAGAGGGGGGGGGGGAACGTGCAGATCTATCCTCACAGAGGAGGGAGCGCTTGTACCTGAATAAAACTTGGTCTTAAAGGTGCCACTGGACTGTTTAGGGCCGGGGGGGCGCTCTGCAATTTACCTGGCTGCTTCTTGCTCTTACTGAGGACTGCTGGGAGCAGGGGGTGGGGCTTGTTGCATGAGCCCGCCCCCTGGCCTCTTTACTGCCAGAGCTCCACTCCTGCAGGAATTGACCCCTGGATAGGTTTATTTAGAGACGGGTTTTGTAATGGGCAACGTGGGAGGAGTCCATCCAACTATACAGAGGTCTGAAGCATACGCTCCAAACAACCTCCGTGGTAATTAGGAAATTACCCCAAATCCAGAAAAACCAGCAATCTTGGCATGTGACTATGGAAGGAAACCAGCCCAACAACTTCCAAGTAGTCCAGTTAGTGGAGAGAAGGTAGATCTAAGGTCAGGATGTTGTTGTTATGTTGATCACCTATAATGAGAGGCTCTGTATGGGCCAGGATAGGGTAAGGATCATTTTGTGACCATTTCAAAATGTCTTAAGAAGCACAGGTGGTTTGTTGTGAGACACATGGGCATACCCAATCTCTCTTAGAACATAAGAACAGAAGAGAAGCCAATGGTGGATCAGGCCAATGGCCCATCCAGTCCAACACTCTGTCACACAGTGGCCAAAAATACCAGGTGCCATCAGGAGGTCCAGCAGTGGGGCCAGGACATTAGAAGCCCTCCCACTGTTGCCCCCTCCCCCCAAGCACCAAGAATATAGAGCATCACTTGCCCCGGAGTCCCTATCTATACCATGTGGCTAATAGCCAAAGATGGATCTCTGCTCCATATGCTTATCTAATTCCCTCTTGAAGCCGTCCATGCTTGAAGCTGCCACCACCTCCTGTGGCAGTGAATTCCATGTGTTAATCACTCTTTGGGTGAATCACTCTTCATTGCCTAGATTATTAGGCTGGCTTCAGTAATATCTACACTATTTTAAATCAGGGATCACTCTGCAGTTGTGCAGTAATTAACCGCAGAACCCAGATATGCATGAGATTGCTTTCTACTGAATCAGACCACTAGTCTACCTCCAGGCGGTGGCCAGTATTGACGTTAGACTGACTGGCCTGTAATTTCCCAGATCTCCTCTGCAGGGCTCATTTGCCGCTGGAACGGGCAGGAATGCTGGCAGTAAGAAGCCCAGGAGCGGCAAGCCCCACCCCATGCTCCCAGCAGCCCTCAGGAGAACCAGGAGGAACAGGAAGCAGCACGCACATGCTGCCTCCCTCTGCTTGCCACCACTGCCATATCTTTGCCACCAGCCAGAAGGCAAGGAAAGTTGGTCCTCTGGAACCTTTTTTTAAAGATGGGGGTTACATTACCTACCTTCCAGTCCTTAGGAATGAAGGCAGATTTTAGTGATAGATTACATATTTTTGCCAGGGGATCCACAAGTTAACATTTGAGTTCTTTCAAAACTCTTGCATGTATGCCATCTGGGCCTGGTGATTTGTCGGTTTTACTTTGTCCATCAGTCATAAGCCCTCCTCTCTCCTCATCTCAATCCGACAAGGGGCTTTCGACACTCCTTCTGCAATCTGCAGTTCTAGAGTGGGCAAGCACCACCCATCTTCCACAGTGAAGACAGAGGCAAAAAATGCATTTAGGAACCCTGCCATTTCCCTATCATCCTTTAGTAATCCTTTTACCCCTTGGTCATCCAAGGGCCCCACCTCCTCCCTGGCTGGTTTTCTGCTACTAATGTTTGCGGATGACACTAAGTTGTTCAGAAGCAGTGTGACGAGAACCAGGGAGGACTCTGATGTGCTCCAGAGGGATCTGTGAAGGCTGGGTGAGTGGGCGTCAATGTGGCAAATGAAGTTCAACCTGAGCAGGTGCAAAGTAATGCATATTGGAGCCAAAAATCCTAACTATAAATATACATTGATGGGGTCTGAACTGGCAGTAACTGACCGGGAGAGAGATCTTGGAGCCGTGGTAGATAACTCGCTGAAGATGTCAACTCAGTGTGCGACTGCAATTAAAAAAAGGCAAACACTATGCTGGGGATTATTAGGAAGGGGATTGAAAACAAATCAGCCAGTATCATAATGCCCCTCTATAAATCTATGGTGTGGCCTCATTTGAAATACTGTGTACAGTTCTGGTCACCGTACCTCAAAAAAGATATTATAGCATTGCAAAAGGTACAGAAAAAGGGCAACTAAAATGATTAAAGGAATGGAACACCTTCCCTATGAAGAAAGGTTAAAGAGGTTAGGGCTGCTTATCTTGGAAAAACTAGGATTGAGGGGTGACATGATAGAAGTTTACAAAATTATATGCGGGATAGAGAAGGTAGAGAAAGAAGTACTTTTCTCCCTTTCTCACAATACAAGAACTCGTGGGCACTCAAATTAATGAGAAGCAGCCTTAAAACAGAAAAAGGAAGTACTTCTTCACCCAAAGAGTAATTAACACATGGAATTCACTGCCACAGTCTATAAACAAGAGGGGATTGGATAAAAATATGGATTAGAGGTCCATCAGTGGCTATTAACTGCAAAGTATAGATAGAACTGATGCGCTGTATACTTGGTGCTTGGGGGGGCACAGTGGGAGGGCTTCTGGAGTTCTGGCCCCACTGGTGGACCTCCTGATGGCACCTGGGTTTTGGCCACTGTGTGACA